AGGGAAAAAAGGTATGAGTTCACAGCATCAAGAGTAGTAACTTTAATTAAGTTGTTTGAGCCCGTGTTTTTACTACAGTTACAGGAATCAAAATATTTAGTGTAGTCTGTGCAATTTCAAGATAACATGTTAACCTGTACACAAACCACAGTTACAGTGTGATAAATAAACCCCCTACAAAGACAGGAGTCCTCCAATTCATGAAGCTAAATTATTAACTCCATCTGCATTTTTGCAACTTTTATGCAGAACGACTCCACCAGTGGCATTTTGCCCTTGTTTAAGCAAACCCCTCTTTCATTTGACCGAATCTTTTTCCTTTTAGCTTCAAAATCAGGCCTTTAGGTCTTAAGGGACTCAAGTAAGTAGTCTGGCTGATTTTTTTGTTAGCAGTCAGTGTCTGGACTGACTAGTATTCCAAGGCTTTCTACAGGATGGGATTAAAGGAGATGTCAGTTTTTACCTAGTTCCTGGAGGCCTGAAAATGCCACCAAAACATTGAATACCAAGACAGCAATAAAACTGATACTATCAGTGGAGATCTTTATGGGTGCAAGAAGGGATGGAAAGCAGACTAGTAGCTGAATGGCATGAAGAGGCATTACTATCTTGCCACCGGATGAGCTGATTTCCTTGGAAAGCCCAGCAGCAGGAAGCAATATACAGTGAACTTGTACTGCAATGCATTTTATATAAAAATGATATTGTCTCCAAACCTATAAGAATTGGAATAATAAGTCACACTGGTTTTCTCAGACAATCAATCCAAGTAGCTTGGCAACAGGGCACTGCAGTGTGTTTATGCCCGTGAGTGCTCAGGCATTTGCTTAACAAGCACAAAACTCATCGACATCTAGAAGTGAAAGTTTAGCTGAATTCAGAGCTTATGCATTTCTATATTCAATATCAGAACACAAATAAATAAAAGGGTGTTTTTTCCTATTAAGTAAATGACAAATAAACATATTATTGAACAAACTATTGGTTATATGCTCACATCACTCAAATTGAAGGCGTTGACCCTGGCTTGGATAAATTGAGGAACATCAGGATCCAGAGTGTATTTGTGTTTTACTTTTTCACCTTCTTGCTTATATGTTACCTGCAAGCAAAAATAAAGAAATGCACATCAACAAGCCAAGGTAGATAACAGTGTTAACAAACAGAGACAATGCAACAATTCTTACCAACAAATTGTAATTTTACTATTTTTAGAGTTTTTTAAATGTCAAGGGTTTTTTAAGTGAGAAAACAGACAGTAACATGTAAATCATAAATGTGGTAAAAATAATAAAATCACTACATTGTATTAATAACAAAAAAAATTCTTACATCACTCAGCTGCTTGGTGTTGTGCTGAGCTAAAACCATTGGTATTGAGTCTGGTATACTCGTAAATTTGATGGTGTCTGGGTGCTGACGGTATTTCTTTTCGTTTAATGCATCTCCAGCCTTTTTAGCTTTTTCAACATCCAGAGAACCGAGCGGGCTCCACCCAATACCCTTGAACCAGCTGTTATAGTCTTGCTTGTATGCATTCTGAAGGAGAGAAAGCCAACATGCACCAGGATTTTCCCACAGAATGTAATAGTTCTGTTTAAAGCATTAATCTCACAGTCTAGGTAGCATGTTCTAGGTTAGCAGGAAATATTTACTAATTCCTGAAGAGAAAACAGATATTTTTAATGTTTCTCTGTGATTTCAGAAGGAGGAGGATGAGCTATTGCATTTTTGATTTGTGATTCATTCCTTTTAATCTGTAACATCCCTTCAGGATTTACTAACCATCCTTTTCTTTCACCCACGTGAAAAGTTTCACCAACCTCCAATTCTTAGTAACTTCTAAACTACCATATGGTGATGGTTTAACACAGGTTCATTTGTCCTGTGTTACAGCAGACTCTATGCGATTTGGCCTTATACAAAGATCCACAGAGCAGAGGCTCCATTTTTGGGTTTCTTCCTATAGTTCCTCCTGCAGTAAAATACACAGAATTCACAGGCTGCAAGTGAATTTATACTGCTGAAAGACATGCAGCAGGCTTTCCCATGTAGCCACTGAGACAGGGCTAATGCACACTCTGAAAGCCAGGATATCCTGAACACTCTTTTTTCAGACCCTTCCATGTTCTGACTCTGAAACGAGTGGTGCTCCATAGGGATCCATACAGACTCACACTTCACAGCATGCAGAGTGCAACCATTTATGCCCAGTCACCCATTTCAAATTCTCTCTGCAAGAAGGACCAAGAAGGTTCTAGAAGAGGTCTCCTATGCTAGAGATCTCCAGAATATATTTCTAATATCAACAGTCATATTTTGTCCGCTCCTTCATCCTAAACAGTCAGTCCAACTACACTATCTACCACATGTGAAGGCAGAGTAAGACAGCTTAAAAGAAATCATACAGAATAAACCAAAATTGTTAGTTGCAAACCAAAGTTTTCTGAGAAAATGTGAAAAAGAAGAAGTTCATTTGAGTTCGAAATTCCAAAAGTCTGCTCTCCACTGATACGCCAGCGTCAAATTCCCAACTTGCCAGGAACCTGGTATTTCTAAATGCCACCACCAGCTGATAAAACTTATAACAATCTTCCCCACAACGTAAGAACACCAGACCATTCCCATACAGAAATGGTGATTTTTGTTGACTATAACCTTGTATTTTATCTTTCACAGCGTGCAGAAAAACACCAGTGCAATTGCAATTGCCAAAATACTTACATCGCTCTGAATTTGCATCATGTTCTTTGCAAGCTCGACATCCATGGCATCTGGCAGGTAAGTGTAGTGATGGATCAGGTTTTTGTAGTGGGCATTAGAAGCTATGTCCTGAGACTGTTTAGCAGCCTGGATACTGTACATGTCAGGAGGTGTATGGTAGTTAGTCTTGGTCTTCTCGTAGTCTTTCTTGTACTCACGCTCAGACTGAATCTTTGCTACGTTCATGTAGTGGACAAGCTTAGGATCATCTTGCAGGCTTCTGAAACCAACCTGTTTCCCTTTAGCCTTTTCATACGCTTCTTTATATTTATACTAGAAACAGAGGAAAGAGATCAATGTACTGTGGTGTGGCTTTTATTGTCCACACTAATGCAAAAGAAAAGCAAAGCTCTCGCATCTTTCATTGGAAAAAGAAGCTGCAAAACAGTCCAGAAAGATAAAGTCTCCTAAATGGCACACCCAGCGCTTGTCCCTATCGTACAGTACTCCTGTGCTGAAAGGTGTATGAAAAATACCAGATTAATGGAGAAAATCCTTCTCAGTAATTTGAAAGCAATAGCAAACAAATGGACCATGACTGGACAGCTTCCTCTAGTCATATGAAACCATTGAACCATCTCCCACTGGACACAAGCTGCACTACGAGGCCTTTGGATTCATGTCTAGCCATGTATATGTGACGCCCCACTGTCCAACCAAATGTGAAGAGGTGCTAATGTAGGGCATTTTCTGGAGATTTGTCACAGAACGACTGCAAGAACTACCAACGTCGTTTCTCCTGCGAAAAGTGGGCTAAGAAACAGCGCGGTAGGATCTGCCTATCTAAAGGAAGCATATTCAGCATAAAGTAAGTTCCACACAAATGAACACTTTGGGAAAGACTCAGAATCTCTTTCTCATAACACTGAATCTAGTGACACTCATACAGTGTACGTCTACCACGTGGGCCTGAACGGACGACTTTTTAACTAAACGCCTAAAAAAGTATACCTGGGAGAGATACTTACATCACTAGCAATGTTCCTTGAAGCCTTGGCTAGAGTAATTGGAATAGCATCAAGTGACACATTGTTCCCTTTAGCTATTAGATCATGGTAGTCTTGTTTATAATATGCCTAAAAAAGAAAACCTGTGTTATTCTAGAGAATCTAGTAATCACATGAACTCCATGCAAGCCAAAGCTACTCCTAAGCTACTCTAGGCAATTCTTTAGAAGCAGATGCAGTGGGGATCACAATCAACTATCAGTCCTCATTTACAAGAACAGATTTCTCTATTAATTAAATCAAATTAATTAAATTATTACATGATAATGTGGTTAGAAATTCAAATGACACCAAGAATTAAAAATTACAATGATACAAGTTGATTATATAGTCAAATAAATTTGCAATATGAGTGTATCCGTAAGGTACTATGCAAAAATTCATTAACGTTGCGTAAAACGTAAAAAAGTCACTTACGTCACTGATGTTAGCTGCATTGTATCTAGCTTGGATAAACTGCGGGACATCAGGGGTAAGAGTATATTTGTGTTTAACTTTCTCTCCCGAAGATCTGTACAGTTTCTGTAAGATGAGAGAGAGAAATAAACTCTTCTTTCCTTGTACAGGTAGCCCCAGGTCACTGTGAATTAACTGAGGGTTTACGTCTGACTTTGCAAACAAACCATCTATCTCACAGAGATCGAGACTGCACTTTTTGTACAGTTGTTGAGCTTAGGTATAGGAGGAAAGCACCCTAAAACCTCTATGCAGTCTTTACTCAGTAAAATTAAGCCCTTTAATGGACATAAAACCCCACTTCTGAAAGAGTGGGATAATAAGGGATGGAAGGAGAATGCAATAGAAAACAAAGCTTGCTGGTTCATAATGATGGACATAATGTGATTCATCAAATATTTTGTAGTTCATTTATTATTGCAGGTGATAAGACAGCAGCAAACAACTTGAAAATTTCACATTTCTTAAATCAAGCATATTTCAAATGTACTTAAAATATAAATGGACAGAACCAGCTGATGTGAACTGAAAGAGCAACATGATTTCCATACAGCTTTGCAGACTTACACCAGGAAATTACTCAGGCAAAACCAAGCACAGAACAAAGACAAGAGAGAAAAGCACTTTCAGGCTAATACTATTGTAAAAAAATGTTAAAGGCAATGCTCAGCTCTTAATGCGACACATCTCTGCTTTACTGTTACACACATTTCTTTCTCTACTTACATCATTGAGTTGAACTGAATTCTGTTTGGCTTGGACCATTACTGGAGAGTCCACCACGCTTGTAAATTTAATGGTGTCTGGATGCTGACGATATTTCTTTTCATTCAAGGCATCTCCAGCTTTTTTAGCTTTTTCTACTTCTATAGAGCCAATGGGGATCCAACCAATGCCTTTCATCCAGTTGTTATAATCTGCTTTGTATGCATTCTAATATAGGAGTGAAAACGATGGTTTAAAAGTTAGGAATTAAAAAACAAAAACCAACCACACAATTCAGGGACCTCTCCTGAGGCTTTGCAGATTTTGTTGGAGGCATCTCAAAAAAATTCTGTTCACATGAGGTTTTACTTACATCACTCTGAATCTCCATCATATTCTTGGTCAGCTCCACATTCATTGCATCTGGTAAGTAAGTATAGTGGTGCAGGAGGTTCTTGTAATTGGCATTGCTGGCAATCTCTTGCGCCTTCTTGGCACCGACAACATGGACCATGTCCATTGGAATGCTGTACACAGTCTTTGTTTTCTCATAATCTTTTTTGTACTCTCGCTCAGACTGCAGCTTGGCTACCTTCATGTAATGAACGAGTTTGGGATCATCCTGGAGGCTCTTGAAGCCAACGAGTTTACCCTTGGAGAGTTCATAGCCTTTTTTATAGTTAACCTGGTAGAATATTAAAGAACACGGAGAGTATCACCTTAAGTGTAGTAACCTAGCAATAAATAAATTAAAACCAAAGGCTATGTCTTGTTTTCTACACAGAGTATCCCTCACATTAAAGTCAGAGACCATACATCTTAATGAAACCAGATGCGTATCTCTACACAAATCAGTTAGCTCTCAAAGTAGCACTCTCACTTGCCCTGAAGGGGGAAAAGAGTCTGAAAGTACTAAGGCGCTTCCACGAGGCCATCCCCAAGAATCTTCTCAGGCCCCACTGATGTCCTAGAGTCTTTCATCTCATTTATTATCAGGCCTATAATTAAGGACAGAGAGAATTCAGGGGTCCATTGCTCGTGGAGCTGTCACTACTGACCTATTCCTCAAGATTTTCCTTAACCATACTGGACTGAAGACAGCCAGTTTATTCCCAGAGAATTACATAACAAAGCAGCCTTTTCTAAATGCAATTTTACAAATCCATTAGAGAAGCAATGAAACACCAATAAAAACATGTGTATTAAATACATGCAATAACGTGCTCAAGAAGGCAATAAAGAAGTTGTCCTTCAGATATGCTTAAACATCATGGCAAACTGTTTAAGGAAACTCTTTTGAATTAAACAGTTCCTTTAGGAAGGATGTACTTACATCACTGACAGCCTGCCTGGCAGCCTTGGCAACTCGGATAGGAATAGCATCACTTTTTAGATCATATCCCCTTGATTTTAACTCTTCCAATCCTGTTTTGTAGTAGTTCTAGAAGAAAAGGTGAATTTTGAATGAACAGAAACTTCATATTGTAAGTTGCATCAAGAGCTCTGGAATGAAAATATACTTACATCACTAAGATTGTAGGCATTGACTTTAGCCTGTATAAACTGGGGCACATCTGGAGGGAGGTGGTACTTGTGAAGAATTTCTTCACCTTTGGCTTTATACTTTATCTGCAAAGAACAATAAAGAAATTTAGTTCACAGACTGTAAATGCTTAGTAATGCAGAGCGACACAACTTAAAGATCTCGTGTTGCCCCACTCACAAAGATGGAGAGATGAAATCCTAGTCCCTGTCAAGTGAGTGCTTTAAACCCTACTGACTTAACTAGTTTGAAGAATATATCAAGAATGATGGACATAAACAAAATTACAAACACAGTAAAACTTGATGTGAACAGCCACCTGAGAAATGAAAAAAAAACCCAATCTGCAGGTGATCTTCCACTGGAACAGAACTGGAATGCACACAAATGTTTTTCTGCCCGTGCGCACGTACATACGCACACACATGCACCTCCACGCTTTCAGTTCCCTTGAAACTGGATGATAAAGTGAAGGTGGCCATGGTACAGAAACTGATACTGTCAGAGCGTAGCAACACGTTTCCTAAGCTTACTTACATCACTCAGCTGTTTGCTATTGATCTCCGCTTGCTTCTGTACTGGGGAATCGGTCACTTGAGTAAATTTGGTTTGATCGGGATGCTTTTTGTAGGTGTGCTGAAGGAAGGCAATAAAGACATTTGCAGAACACGCATATAAGCAGAACTATTCTATACGACATAGCCAGGTGGCATTACTTGGGACAGTGAGCAGTTATGGCACGCGTGCAGGTAAGCTCAGTCATGGACTGTCGTTCTCATGTTACTTTTAAACATCAGAGAGCAAACAAGTTTTTGAAGTATTTTTAAAGTATTAATGTAAAATATTTTGAATAGGTATATAAATATTGTAATGTATGGTATACACTATAACGTATTACACACATTATAGTATATTCTATGATTTTATATACATTTGATATATTATATACAACTAGATATTTAAAGAATTTCCCAAGAGATGATAAAGTAAATAAAATTGATATTAATAAAGTAACTAAAGTGCTTTTAAAGTATTAATGTAAAAAAGCAGGTATATGCTTAAGGTTCATTCTTCATTTTGGTACCATCCCTCTATTACGTTTTTACTTGTTAGAATAGAGATTGTGCTATATCTGTCTTGATCACTAGATGGCACAAAAGGCTCTAAAACACAGATGAATACAGTTTTTTTAAAAATCACATATGGTGATAAGGCCAACTTCAAAATCATCGCAGTTAACAGGAATCACTCTGTAAACTTCCACATGCCTCAGAAGCCGATACTCCACACGTAGGTGGCTACTTGATGACCACTACTGTCTTGTACTTACATCTTTACACTGCTCTAACTTCTTAATAGCTTCATACTCTTGAGTTATGGTCTGAGGGAAGTAGCATTTTGTCTTTTCCTCCTCATAATCTGCTTTGTAATTTTTCTAGGAATAAGATCAACATTCAGTAAGAAACCACACTGAGCTTTCTCTGGACTGAAAGTGCTATGTTGATACCAGAATGGCTGCCACACTTACATCACTCTTCATAGCTTCAACCTTCATGCAGTGTGTTTGATGTGGGTCCTCAAAGCTGCCCAAATAGTGTCCTAAAATATTCTTTTGATATGCATCTTTATATTTTACCTGCAAAAATAGTAACAAGTTCATAAACAAAAGTAATCAAGAGTGCCAGTACTGAACGACATCACACACACGAAATGCGTACATCACTGAAGTTCTTCAGAACAGTATCCGTCTGGAACTTCGGTGTGTCACAGTAATTCATGCTGTTTCCTTTTGATTGTTCATAGGCTTCTTTGTATAATTTCTGCAAAAGAAAATAACATCAGGTCGTGCAGCAGATATCCCTGCAACTCCTCACAACACATTAAAAACAACAAGAGCAAAATTGTGAAATGATTGCAAAGAAAAGCTTTCCCAGAAGACTGAAAAACAGGTGGCACTTTTTCCCCCCCATGATTTTTTTTTTTTTTTTTAAACTTTTGGAGACTGTCAGGTTTGTAGGGGAAGACAGGAAGGTCTGACTGATGGGTTTTGAGCTTCTGACACCAAGACATACGCAAACTTTTTCCATAAAGAAGAAAATAGCAATGGAGAAAGCCATTACAGTGAGTAACCAGAACACAAGATACATGCATATGTAAAAGTACCACATATTTTATCATTACTGGCATCAGCTGAAGCTCCTTAAAACAGTAAGGGAAGAATGGTCATCCTGTGATCCGTTTTCCACAGAGATCTACATGAACTATACAATAATTGGCTGTGCCCACAACATGCCACTGTTACACTCCGCTGTGGAAAAGCGACTCCTCATCTACGCCGTTCCGGCTGGGGGCATCTCACGACAAATATTGGTCTATAAAACTAAACATACTGACAGATCCAAAGGAGAAGCCTTGTGAAGAAATGCTGGGTTTGGTTTACTGTACATGACTGAAAATCATCCAGCTGTACTTTCAGAATACTTACATCACTCAGCACATTGCCTGCGGCTTTTAATTGCCTCAGCAATGGGTTCTCTGTAGCAGGAAGCACATTATAATCCGCAACAGCTTTGTTCTTTTCATAGTCCGCTCTGTATTTTATCTTTAAAAAAATAAAAAGGGTGAGGTTTTACAAGTGAGTATTAAACACCAAACGCTCACTAACCTGTATCATCTTGAACTTTTCAGGAAAATTTCCTTTTAACCTATGATGCATGATGGCAAAGGACCATGACAGGCACTCAGACCACAGGAGTGCATGGGTGAGGAGGTGGGAGGCAGGGGCACACGATAACCGAGAGCTATTTGGTAGATGTTCCCTCCTCTAAGCCCCTCTCCAAACACTGGGATTTTTCAAATATCGGTTGACATCTCAGAACAGTCACATTCTCACAGTGAATTGTCTTTGCTGATTCATATACTATTGCAGAAAAGGCAGAAGCCAAGCAAATTCTGTATTTTGAACCAAAGCCTGGCCAGCACAACAGCACTGAGATACACTGAGCAAGGATGAATAAATATGAAAACGCTGAGCCAAATTCAGCCAGCTTGCGTTGGTCCTGTTTAACAGTATTGATTTGTTCCAGCTAATAATCAGGCACATCACCCAATCAGAGCAAACAATGAAGCGAATTCTACGTCACGAGTACTATTGTGGAAGACCGTTAAGCATGGCCAGGAGTTGTTGTAAGCTCCCCAGCGCACAGGAACACATCTTTTGCATATAGGAAAGTACTTCTGACACTTGCTAAAACAGTTCCAGGACAAACTAGCCTGGCTTCAGAACTGGGGTCTAGCTAAACAAATGGGAGAGTGCCATAACCTACCTTACTGACATTATTTGAAACTCGCTTATTAGCCTCATATTCTGGAGTTTCAGTCTGCATAAAGTAGATCTGGTCTTTCATGCTTTCAAAGTCTTCCTGGTATTTTCTCTGTCAGGAAAAGAGACAAACAGATAACAACGTATCAAATGCACTTACATCATAAATCAGACATCCACGGAGTAGCTTACTTAAAAAGAGAAATACCACAACTGGCGCTGGCAAAATTAATCCATACTTCCCACGTAAACATACACAGAGGATAAAGCTGTTCATCTCAAGATTATTCTGAAGAATTCACTCACCATACTTATATTTTCTGAATTCATTTTTGCAATGGCAACATCATAGCATGGAGTTTGACTCCACTTCCCTTTGATCTTGTTTTTATAGTCTTCATGGTAAATAATCTATAACAAAATCAAAAAACAATTTAATCCCAAAAATGCACCTCAACTTTCACTCGACAGATTTGTTTCTAAAAGTCGTCTTTTTTCAAAGTTTGCTTCACATTTTAATCTGCCTTTACCAATTATTGTCAAAAACACTTTAAATACAATTTGGCCTAATCACTTCAGCATTCAGTTATTTCTCTTAGTCCTTTCCCTAACCAAAAAGAGGATGAATAGGTGAAATAAGTCATCTCTTCTAGAAGACTGTTATTAATAAGAAAATCTCTCTGAGACATCACTAACATACTCCTTTAGTTCTGTTTGCTCACTGGTCGCAGAATCTTGGGACACTGTACTGCCCATCGGCTAAGCCAGAACTTACTGCTATTCCTGCTAAAAGTTGCTGTAAGAAAACCCTGAGGTTCCTAGAGAAAGAAGAGCATGGCATTCTACTCACGTCACTCAGCTGCCTTGTCACTTTCTTGGCCTGTTCCACGTCAGGTGGATCTGGCAGAGAAGTATATTTAGATTTTCGTTCATCGTGCCCTTTTTTGTAGACAATCTGAAAATACCAAAGAAGTCAACATTTACAGTAACTACCAACTGAAGCATCAGAACATTTACTTATAACTCTGCTAATGTCACCAATAACAAAAGTAGTTGTGTTCACAGCTATTGCAGCATAAACACCTGCAAACACTGTATTCTGGAGGACTCCTGATGGGAGACAGTGAAAAAGAATCAGTTCCCCGGGGAAGTACATTACACTGGTTCTGCTGATAAACATGGAGTGGTGAACGTCAGGACATGTGCAAAATTCACAAATCTTTCAGGGAGACTGAAAATCCTCGGCTGAAGAGTTCTGTGTATCTAAGAATCAGCAAATCACACACCCACATGAATTCCTGACTTTTCTTATCACTGTTTTAGACAGATTTGAGGCCCAACAACAGTGAACTGAGCTTACAGCCAACCCTGAGAGTTCCTCTACATGTTTTTAGAGTTTCACTCTTCTTACTGAATACCTCAGAATAAATTAGTTATTTCATTCATTCATAATCTGGCACCAAATTGCCAACTTAACTCTAATACAGAGCCCTCTTCCCTACTGAACTAGTGCTACTACCAGTACTACCGGTGCACACTTATGTGTTTGTATTTTTGGTTCCATCATGAAGTTTTTATATCTAGGCAAAGTCCACCACAAAGACTACCAAGTCACACTGTAACAGCGACCCAGCTGTCAATCGGGCTTCAATACTTACATCGCTCAGAGCCTTCTGAGCTTGTGCCACCCTCCTGAGCTCTGGACTGTCATTGTATGGATAGAATAATGTTTTGTCTCCTTCCCAGTCTTCGGTATAGAGTTTCTTAAAAACAGAAGAATGCAAGAATACTCAGTATGAATTAACCTCTGACTCGGAATGCTTTTTGCACCTCACCTGCTTAGACCTGTGACTTTTTTCTTACCTTACTGAACATTGCTGTGTTTTTTATTGCATTCACAAGCTCTGGAGCATCAGGGGGAAGCAGGTACTTGTCCTTATTCTCCTCCCAGTTCTGTTTATATAACACCTGGACAGAAAGAACAGCACATTGGTTATTAGGAAAATAAATAATGTGCACTCTATTATTAGAAAAACATTTCCATTTGTGAATAAACTACCTGCTCTTTTTTCAAAGTGACCGTCTCAAACCAGTGATGTTTGAAGACACCAATTTGAAACATTTAAGATTATATTTATACTTCCCTTATCAACTTCTCTGCTATCTCTCCCTGTGCTTCTAAACTGTTCTGTAAACATTGCCTTAGTGCCCTGAGCTCAAACCTTTATTTATAGCAGTAACCTCCTGATTCACTAATGTTCTCAACCCCTCCAGAAAGCCAGAACTCGCTCACCTTGCTCACTTGCTGCGACACTTTCTTTGCATGTTCTATGTCCTTGGCCTTTTCATCAACGTGGCAAATAGTTCTAGCAACTTCACCAGCCATGCGGTATTTAACCTAGATCAACGCGCAACAAAACACATGTATTCTTACAGTAAAACAGATTCTTTAAAAAGCAGAATATTGACATTTTTATACTTATACTGTAAACACCAAAAATCTGAATTCAATAAAGCATTTAAGACTGGCTGTTCCTTAGGAAAGAAGCCTATGGAAACAAACGGATTTTGTGAATTATCTGAGAAAGAAATGCAGCTTTGAGACAGTTTGAAGAGCTGTGAATCCAGGATAGAGGTAGTGCCCTTTTGCAGGCACAGAGTTCTTTCTAAGAGCACTTCCACCCTGCGTAATGAGACAGAGATATCCCCATGCTATGCAGTATATGTCAAGTTCACAGTCCATTACCATGCTGTAAACACGCGCTGTGGTGCCAAAAACAATACAGCCACGTTACCATGGCAAACCAGCAGCTTGGGCCCAAAATCATCCTCGTGTGGTTTACAGCCCCCAGCTTGACAGCAGGCTCAGTCAGCATCAGCACAGGGACTGCCGCATCACATTCCTCGATACACCCTCAGCCAGGAGTGGAGTAGAATTTAATGCGCACTCCCCTCCCAAACACAGGTTAGGTTCAGTGACTACCATCTCAGCTTTAGGGGAATCCCATTCCCAAGGACTCAACATTCCCTATTTACTGCACAAAGAATTATGAAGCCTTTCCCAATGGATTGCAGTTTCCCAGACTGTGAGGTGTATTGTTGAAAGGGAGACTAGTGTCGCTTAAAAGAAAGAGGGGAGGATGAGCCAGCTTCCAGAACTGGAGGCACTCCACCAGCGGGGCAGTCGTGCTTGGGGTAGCTTTCAAACTGCGACTTAATTCGATTCCTTACCACGCAATAAATAATTTTTTCTTACCATAATTGTTACCTACCTCACTAAGCTGGTCTTGCACTTTCTTGATTCTCCGAATTTCTGGGGTATCAATTGTGGAAGCATATGGCTTTCCTTTTTCTTTATTAAATTTTTCTTTGTACTTGTTCTGAAAGAAAATAATGACAAACACAACCAAGGCATATGGCAAAGCTCTGGCAGAAGCATATGTAGCAATGAGAGATTTATTTACCTGGTTAGTATAGGAATTTGGAGCAGGTTATTCAATAATACAAACTAGTGTCACTCAATTGTGTTTGCAGGGTTACGCTTATTTTAGCCAACTGACTTTCTTCCATCTGACACAATAGAAAAAAATCCATTTCTACCTTTAGTCTGGTTTAAATCCCCCCTGATTATATTCTCCTTAAGGAGTTTAGTATGGATAAATTTAGTTATTTGTTTCGATGACCAAAGATTAGGAAGACATGGGAGGTGAGGGTAGCAGTCCTAGTCCTGTGATCTCACATCACCCTTAAGCAGTGAATGCTGGTGGGTAACAGATGTTAAAATTTAGGAAAAGGGATATGATACCATCTGTATCTGTGCAGAGCAGTTGTTTTCCATAACATCGTAGAGTATTGGTCTACTGGTCTTTGATATCCAATATCAGAGATTGAGGTTGGTGATTGTTCTTATACACTGTACACAAGGGTTTTTACTGAATACATACAGAGGGATATTATAAAACATACTGAGGTTTGCTATTCAACAGACATTAGTCCTTCTTGTCTTCCTTCATTCAGGCATCCAGGTCAGAGTGCAGGAGTCCCACTGACACCTCTGACAATCTTCAGCCACCTGCCTCAAGCCACTTTTTGTGCCCAGTGATTACCTAATGCACTTAAGCAGGAAACGGGCAAGAGATTGGCTAATTCAAAGAAGCAAATGACACTAATACACATCATGAAGTACAGGAGACAAACCAGTAGTATGGAAGTTTGCCATAATACCTATTAAATATTTTTTAAGTTGGTGTTCCTCAGGAAATAAAAGACATGGGACAATTTACCTCACTGAATAGGTCCTTCATTTTATTGCTGTGTTGCAGGTAAGGTGTCAAAAACTTAGATGGGTCCACTTTTGTCCGTATTGTCCTCTTTCTGACTGGAGGTGCTGCATCCTCAACAGAAGGCTTTTCATGCTCAACAGTGTAGGTGGTAGTTTTAGGACCTGTGAAGTCAGTGCTAACGGTCTTGGTGATCTCAGTGACCACCTAGGAATAAAGACAAAAAGAATTACTTGCTTTATAACTATAAATCATGATTTTATGATACTTATTTTTCACCTCCCCTAGCTAGCAAAAGGTTCTTATCCAGGAACCACCTGCAAGAAAGAAAAATCAGTGACACTTTCCATACTGGTATTACCCAGTATGCCTACTATACATCACCCAACCTAAAAAAAAACCAAACAAAACACAAGGAATTAACTGACTGGCTGATTTCTGTGTCAAAGTCATGTAATTATTCTCCAGAGGAGCTGGAAGAGTGGGGCCCCTGTTGCCTCTGTTCTATATGCATAACTTCCACAGGCATCAGGGGAGCTCTCAGGTGGGACCACCAGCTCCTAAAACCAACGTGTAGAAATGCTCTCAGTGCTGAAGACACACGTTGCACAGCCAGGGCTCCTAATGAGGTCACTGGAGGTTGTGAAAGCAGGTCAAAGGGGCAAACAGTCATTCAAAAAGATTATCTCCTTGCAAAGGGAAAGGAACGGACACAGCAGACAGGTAAGATGAGGTCTTTGGGATCTGGAAGAAAGTACAGGATGCCAGCTGACTGAATAAATACCTGGAATCCACCTTTTCTTACTAAACTACATTTTCTCATAGCCAGATCACAATCATGGCAGAGACATAGCTGAGATACTTATATAATCAATTGATCAAGCATCATTGGAAAGAAGTCCTCAATTGCAGGAGCAAATGGAAGACTATCAGCAAGACACAGGGCAGGACAGGAATGATGTCGTGGTTAAGAAGGTTAACTCTTTCCTGACTAAAACCAGCAGAAATGAGCACAGTCCTTTTCTGACGAACACATCCACAACTCCTTCTAATGGAAGCCAAAGAGTAGCAGATAGGATATTCGGAACAAGCCAGGAGTCATCTAGATCAACCCACAACAGGGTCTTGCAGAGGAAAAAGTATTAAGAAACAACTGTTCACTGATATTTGTGTATTTAATATGAAAAATTAGTCCTCAGAATACAAAAGTCCACCTAATTTAGCATTATGCGTTAGTTACACACCACATGTACCATCACAGGGACCTTTACCTCATGTGGTTCACCACCCTCCTCAATAACTGTCTCTTCAATGTAGTACTATTAAAAAAAAGGGAAAAGAAATTGTTGTTAGGCCAGATCATACAGAATAGCAAATTCTAGCTTCTGCTCAGATGTTTCAAAAGCACACTTGTGGAGAAATAGGGCTCTAGTTCATAAGCACCTATGTAGTCACGTTTGCATCCCTGGTAATTCTGAACATCTGCCCATTTTTTGCATTAAGGATTAGATTTTCACCATACATTCCTCAATTAACCATCCTCCCATGTAATTAATGCAGGATCATTATCCATTTTTACCCACAAGAGGAAAGACAATGATGACCACACTAAAAGAAAGAATCAGCGTTAAGAAAATCCCAGGATTTTCCAAGTGTTTGGCAACAGGCTGAGAGGACTGTAGGAGGTTTCTCTCTAAGATTGCCCTCAGAGTTGTTCCTACCTACAGATCCTTGCAGGACACCAATAATTACTGTCTGCCTGCTAGACTTTGTACTACTGATCACATGCCTGAGCTCAGCAGCCTAGTCAATATTCCACCCACTTTACCGTCCACTTCTCCATCCCACATCTCGTTTATTTGACGATAAGACTATGAGAGACCATTTCCCCCTGGTCCCACAGAACTATGTACATCCCAGGGGGTTAAGTCATCCCTAACTCTGCCTTCCTCTGCTGTGGCTACTACTTCACTCCCACATCTCTGATAGGAAGCTGAGAGATGTGGAAGACCATAGCACAAGCTGTATCAAACCTGTGGCCAAAAAGGCTTCAAGTACATCAGTATTTTGCCTGTTCCTTGTCACTAGCTTCCCCACTCACTGAACTATAGTCCCATACTCTTAGACTTCCTTTTGCTGCTGATGGCACTTGCAGAAACTCGTCTTGCTGTTCTTTGTTTCCATTGCTGGCTTCAGCTCCAGCTGAAATTTGCCCATGCATGTAGGAATGGAGTTTACAATGTCTTATGCCTTTATGTTCCTCCCAAGCGGCCTGCTTCTGTCTTCAGTGTACTTCTTTTTTTGTGTGTTTCAGCTCAGTCAAAGCCCCCTGTTCATCCATAGCATTCTGCTGTGTTTGCCTTCTGCACATTGGACTGAATCTTTCTTGTGGTCTGAGAAAATTGTTCTCGAGGATCACCCAGCTCCCCAGGGCCCCTTTGACCTCCAGGGCAGTTTCCCATTGGATTTTCCCAAGCAAGTACCTGAACAGGTCCAACTCTGTTCTTCTGAAGTGCAGGATTTTGATTTTGTTTATCTTGCTCAGTCTTCCCTGCATCTTCAACTCCAGTCGCATGCATGGTCACTGCAGCCATGGCTGCCCTTGACCTTTGCATCTTCCACCACTTCTTTCTTGTTTGTGAGTAGCATGTGTAGCAGATCATCTCTCCTAATTAGTTCATCAACCAACTGCATCAAGAAATCAATCTTCAACACTTCCCAGAAATCTCCTAGGTTGCTTGTGCCCCGCTATAGGCACTTGTGCAGATACTGGGGTGGTTAAAGCCACCCACAGGCACAAGGGCTGTGCCTGTGACACTTTCTCCAGCTGCCTAAGGAAGTTCCCAGGGTGCCACATCTACTCTGAAGTGGCAGATCCGCAGGTGGAGCACCAACCTTCCTCCTGTTGCCAGAAACCATGAGCTTCCCGCCTTCTCCATCCTGATGGCCACCCTCCAGCACCCATTTAACCAGGGTCTCCAAGTGGCACTCCTTCCTCACCATGTGTGCCTCTGCCTCTTGCTTTTCATGAAG